AAGGTGCTTTTTGAGGAAGGAAAGTTACTTAGAATTTTCGCCACCACTTTATAAGAGCCGTGGATAGGACGTGAAGGATTTGGTCACTCGTAAGGAGCTTGGAGCGCCACCTTTATGCCTAAAACTCGAATTTTGGGAAAAATTGGGGGTCAATGGCCGCTCAACTTGCTCAAACCACATTTCTGTCGTGGAAGGACCGATTACAAGGTCTGTCATGCCCCGTTTTAGTCGTTAGAATTTAATTCAAAAAGTATTTCATGTTTATCAACCTCTGTCCAGTATAAAAATCCGTGCATTAATGCTTTTTTGCGTTTGAGCTTTAAGTTCAAACTCTCATGTCTTTCCTATAGCGAAAGGAGGTGTCAAGACCACCTCGCCGATGCCATCGTTCCATGGGCGAGGTCGGCGTGTCAATATTTGCATATAGTCAGGCAGAATTTAAGAATTTGCATATCCATGCCATCATTGTTATATCTTCAATGCAAACACACCTGAGCAAACGAGATGAAGAAGAGTTGATTGAATGTTAGGTTGAGACCCGGCAATTTTTGCGGCACGCCTTCTTCCGCCTGCAGTTTGAGGAAGGCCTACAATGTGGAGAGAGTTAGAGAGAGCGCGGGGAGCTCCTCATTGGGTTCTCCTTTTCGTCACTTTTTCTAGCTCCAGGGAGCCTCAATCACCTACCCGATAGGCGGCCTTTATGCCCCCATTGTCTGCAATATTCTCGCTAAGTGTTAGGTGTCCATCAACCTATGGCACAAGGAAGATAAACACAAGATTGAACAAAAGGTGAAAAAAGCAGAAAGCGAGAGAAATAGAAAAAAAACAAGTATGCAAAAATCCACTTAATTTACATTTTTGCCTTGAACAGTGTAGTTGCCGTACTGATGTACCATGCATTCACTGTTTCTTTCAAAATCGGCTCGTGTGCTTTCACTCCACCACTGTCGCAGGTTGCCCTTTGCATCGTACTTTGAGCCTACAGAAAGGGACACATTTTTTGAGAGGCTTGGTAGCCTCACCCCCACCTTTCAGCTTCCCTCCTCTCGCAACACTCACCTTGTCTATCAAATGCGTGTACAATTTCGTGTCCAACAACTACTCCAATTCCACCATAGTTAAGAGCAAGGGGATAGTAGGCATCATAGAAGGGTTTTTGTAATATACCAGCTGGAAAGTAGATGTGATTTTCTCGTGGATTGTAGAAGGCATTCACAATGTGAGGGGCCATATCCCATCTGTGCACAGGGTAGAAAGGGGGTAAGGTAAGATCCATTGCCTCGCTTCAGGACTAATGCCAGTAGATGAGAGAGCGGGGGGGAGAAC